CAGGGGTCCGCCTTGGCGCCATTGGTTGGGTTCAGGGGGCAAAGCCCAGGAAGCTCAGGGGTTTAGGCATTTGATAACGGTCAGATGAGCAAACCTCATTATTCTGTGACAAAGGCAGGTTACTTTTTTATATCTTTATTCAGGAATTTGCCATTTTTCCAACAAATGCATAGAAAAGTATTATTTACTAAAGATTGAGGAAAGATGAGGAAAAATTATGTCATTTCAGCAACATTTGTATCGAAATAGAAATGAACCACGTAAGAATTATATTTGGGGGACAACTGCCCCCACCCCAAGCCCTACCCCCCCCCCCCCACCGATCTACACCTTGTTGGCGAGAAAATAACAACTGATCTCCCTTACTTTCTTCTTTCTCTTTTTTTCTTTCCCTTTCTCTCCTTTTTTCCTTTCCCTTCCCTTCCGTTTCTCTGTTTTAGGTTTGCTGGGGGGGGGGGGAGCTAGGGCCTTTCGCCCCCCTCGATCTATACGTTGATGGTGGGTTTAATCGCAACTGTTGTCCCCTTCTTTTCTTCTTCCTCTTTTTGTTTCCTCTTTGCTCTCCTCTTTCCCTTCCCTTCCTTCCCCCTTTTTGTTGTTGTTGGGAGGAGACAAGCACCTCCTCCCCCCCCCCCGAAGTACATTTTGGCGGGAAAATCTCGACTGATATCCCCTTCTTTTCTTTTTCTTCCTTCCCTTTATCTCCTCTCTTCTTTTTTTCCCTTTCCTTCCTTCTGGCATATTTTTTGTTTTGTTTGGGGGGGGGGGTTAAAGCTGGGAGGCAAGGTCTTTTCTCTCCCTCCCCCTCCAATCTCCTTCTCCCCTCCCCCCCCCCCCCTTTCATTTCTTCTTCCTCTTCTTTCTTCCCTTTTTTCTCCTTTTTCCCTTTCCCTTCTTTTCCTTCTCTCTATCTCTCTCTCTCTTTTTGCCGGAGGGGGGGGGGGGGGGGGGCAAGAGCCGCTCGGCCCCACCAACCTGGATCCGCGCCTGGTCATAGCTAAAGTTAGCTAGGGACATGTTTGTTTTCATTTCATTTCCCGCTTCTATTTATTGTCAAAAGACAAATAGGCCATTTTCGACAGGTCAAGTGCAAATATTGACACATACACGGCTGAAAAGTGTGGTTATGAAAAGGCACCCTCTAGGTGCGCCGAAAGCAGTTGGAATGGGGGGGGGGGGCAAACATTCCAGGGGGCTCACCTTCCGGGGCAGTGACGTAATGAGCAAAAACGTTTGGAAGGGAGGAGGGAGAACAAAAATATGCATCACCACCAATCTTCCACGTTACATGCAGGCTCCGCGGAACGTTTTTCAAAGTGTATTAAGAGTATTAACGATCAGAAAGAGCGTAAATTGGCGTGGGGTCCAGGGCCTGAGCCTCGGCAGGGGGTTAAGGTGCTGAGCCCCCGGAAGCTCAGGGTTTTTAGGCATTACAGTACGGTCAGATTAGCATATTTAGATACCTTATTTCTGACACTGGCAGGTCACTAATTTTTTCTCTCTCTCTTTCCTTTTTTTTTCTCTGTAACATACTCTTTCAAAAGGTGAGGGGGGCCCAAGCCCCCGAGCCCAGCCATTTTGCAGACCTTGACATAAAGGCTTATAAAAAAGAGAGTCTAGGGAGCAGAGCCCCGGGAAGCTCAGGGGTTTTAGGTATATAATTACGATTAGATGAGCATCCAGGGGCCCTCTTTAAGGCCATTAATGTTATGTGGTCCAGGGGGCAGTGCCCCCGGAAGCTCAGAGGTTTTAATATTTAACTACGGTCAGATGAGCATCCAGTGGCCGCCTTAGGGCCCTTGGTTGTCCAGGGGACAGAGCCCCCGGAAGCTCATGGTTTTTATGTATTTAATTACGGTCAGATGAGCATTCAGTGGCCCACCTTAGGGCCCTTGGTGGGGTCCAGGGGGCAGAGCCCCTGGAAGCTCGGAAGTTTTAGGTATTTAGTCACGGTCAGATGAGCATCCAGGGGACCGCCCAAGGGGCTTTGGTGGGGTCCGGGGGCGGAGCCCCTGTAAGCTCTGGGGTTTTAGGCATTTCATTACGGTAGGATGAGCATATTTAGATACCTCATTTGTGACATTGGCAGGTCACTTTTTTTTCTCTCTCTCTTTGTTTTTGTTTTTTTAAGTGAGGGGGGGGGGGGGGGCTCGAGCCCCCGAGCCCAGCCATTTTGCAGACCATGACATAAAGGCCTTTAAATAAGCATATTTTTCTCCCGATTGTAAATTTGGGATTTTCTAATTTTCCTACAAACGCATCAAAAGGTATGACTTACAACAAACTTGAGAAAAAAATATCGGAAAATCATGTCATTTCAGCAACATTTATAAATTATTTGTTTCGAATAATAAATACCCCCCCCCCCCCCAATCAGTACGTCAGCGTTCAGGGGCTCATGTCTTCTCACCCCTATAACAAAAAACAGGCACGCTTTTCCATTCTCTCACAATATTTTAAAAACCTCCATTGATGAATATAGGTGGCATGCGCAATGATTAGGACATTTAATTCCTCTTAACTTTCCTTTTTTTTAATGGAATTTGGCATGTGATTAAATTCAGGTTTTGTTATTGTTATGTTCTTTACTCCTTTTTTGCTTTTTTTTTTGGGGGGGGGGGGCGTTTTGGGGCAAAAATGCGTTTTGCCCCCCTGCCCCCCCCCCCCCCCCCCCCCCCCCACTTGCGGCGCCTATGGCACCCTCTATAATAATATTATCAACAAAAGTTTATAGCCCATTACATGGCATATATAGATCATAGCTAACATTAGCGGCGGAAAAAACGTTATAAAAAGCATCTAGTGAATAATATACTTGATGACCGCCTGTGTAAATACAAGATATAACCCAAGTAAAATTTTGACCATTTTCTCTAGATTTACAATCATTAATTTATATACTCACTGATTCTTTTATCAAGGTATTTAAAATAAATCGATCACTTAGAACTATTTATATGATGTCTCATTTTGAAAAACCTTCTTTAAGCCGAAAATCCAAACATGGGAACATTTTGTTTTTCTACTGAAATAAAAAGGTTCATAGTTCATAAGGTAGTACTTTCGAAAATAAAGGGTTCATTATCCTGAAAATGACATAGAATACCAAGCCTAAACACTATCCACCCTTCCTGCTTCCATGAAAAAAGAGAGAGAGAAAAACAGAGAAGAAAAAACCCAGAAATGTAACGTATGTTTGAAATTATGAAAACACTTTTACTTTGGTGGGAATTGTACTCGCCTGGTATGGAAGATAAACATTCAGAAACCAGGGCACTCTCCGATGCATCCTTTAAACTCATAGCGCATTCGCAGGAGGGGCAGCTTTTTTTTACCACGAAATGACAAGGAACCACTAGTGTCGTGGTCGAGTGGTTTAAGGCGCTTAACTGGAGATGCGAAGGTCGAGGGTTCGAATCCCGACACGGCACTAATATCCTTTGGCAACATATTAACCTACACTTGCTACTCTCCACCCAGGTGTCATATGGGTACCCGGTAGGGTGTGGCCGTCATTGTTGGTCAAACAGCTTGTGAGCGTCAAGTAACGCCCGGCTGGAATGCTCCCCAGGGAGTGGAGATTGTGCACACAGTGTGTGCGGACAAGCACTGAATCCAATGACCGGGGTAATAGTATATTTGTAAAGCGCTTAGAGACATTTTTATTAAGCGCTATATAAAAATTAAATATTATCATTATTATTATATATAAAGAGCTCGGATCCAAAAGGTACTACATCCATTTTTATCCAAATTGATTTTTTTTTCTCTCTTTTTTTGTTGCATTAATGTACCCATTTCTACTAGCCTCTTTTACACTGACGCTTCCAAAAAGCTGAATTTTCAACAACAAAAAAGAGGGGGCAATGGCAATTAAAAAAAGGTACTACATCCACAAAATTGAAAAAACATGAGTTCATAAAAAAAAATTGTGCAGACTTAGATTTCTTTTGAAAGAGTGGTTTTATACTTGTATCATACAATAACATAGTCAGCGAAAGTGTTATTCCAAACTGACATTACTATTGCTAACTATGATCGTGTTTTTCTCAGAATTTGGATTTATGGATGTACATTGTAATACCTTTTGGAATCGAGCTCTTCTTAGCCAGTTATCATTGTTTGTCAATATTGAAAGCGCACAAAATAAAAACATATTCTCATATATTTGCCTTTTCTTCCTCAATTATGTCATATCGGGGCCGTCAAAAATGATTTTCCAAATACAAGTATGTATGGAACACTGTAAGGTGTGATGTTTTGCCACCCCACCCCCCAATCTCTCTCTCTCTCTCTCTCTCTCTCTCTCTCTCTCTCTCTCTCTCTCTCTCTCTCTTTCTTGAAGCCAGGGCCTGGGGTGTGGATACTGAAGCTTCAAACACTCGGTCAACTTTTTCTTTCTTTCTTCTGAAACTCCCAAGGACTTTTGGCGCTTTCTATTACGCTCTCTCTCTCTCTCTCTCTCTCTCTCTCTCTTTCTCTCTCTCTTTCTCTTTCTCTTTCTCTCTCTCTCTCTCTCTCTCTCTCTCTCTCTCTCTCTCTCTCTCTGTGCTCTCCCTTAAATCCAAATGCTGCCCACATTTTCTTCTTTTTTGTTATATTCTTCACTCAATTTGTTCCTGTTTTGTCATGCAATTTTTACGTGTTTCTGTGAATGTTGTCTCTGTTGGTCACTAACATTCTTCATTAATTGTTGGTGTGTGTACCTTTTAAATTTACTTATATTATCATCTGAGGGTCCACAAAAGACAAGCTCTGCTTTCACCAGACCTCTCCATGTCTACAGAATAAAGATCACGTTTCATTTTTTACTTTTTCTTTTTGAAAGTTATTACTTTTTGTGTTCATTTTATATACTTTAAACATTATCTTTTTTGTTGTATACATTTTGCATAGTAATTATTTTCATGATATTTGTATTTTGCTGGGAATGAAGGAAACAAAGTAAAGATATATTTGAATCATGCATATATATTTTTTGAAATAATTATGATTCCCTCACTGAGAATATTCCATAATAGAAGCACGCCATCAATCGGTAACAACAGAGAATGTGGGGGAAAACCCAGCACTGACTCGATGCGATGACACAGTCATGAACACCGAACGAATTCAGTGCATCGAAACCCTTGCATGATATTAATATTATGCTTGTGAAGAAATCTGCGCATTGTATTGCTTAAAAGGATATTAACCTGGATACAAAAGATGACGCTTTGACTTTTGATAACCAGATTCAACCATCCATGTGTACAGTACTGTCTATTAACAAGCAAAAGGTAAGGCCGATACAATATATATAATTTAGACCAGCAGTGAGGGCATAGAGACTTTAGCCCCCCCCCCCCCTCCCTTCCCCCTCCTCAAGCTCCCCCTCGATCCCTTGACCCCTTTTCCCCTCGACCCCCCCCCCCCCCCCACACACAAACATATACAATGAAATATACATGCATTTAAATTTGCTTGCGTTATGGTTTTATAGCACTCTGCAGGCAAATTTTGATTTTCTCGTTAGTGAATACATGACATTCTCATGCTTGTCAAGGGTTGCTCGTCTATTATATATTCGTCGGGTAAGCGATTATATTTGACTGTGTAGGAGTGTGTTTAATGTGTTTCGTATGTACCATATTATAGAAAATACCGAAAAGAACAGGTTATGCCATGCTTTGTTGTGTTTGTTGTGCGGGGTCTTTGTCATGTTTATATTAGGCAAAGGTCATGTTCACGTTTCAGCTCATGTACACATCACAGACAGAGTAACTGTATAGTACAATTATGAGTAACCGTGCGTTTTGTTGGTAATGCGTATATTATTCATCGGAATATGCATGGAACGGCTCTGTCGGTTGCTCCGCAGTAGCATTGGCTGTCGCCTGTTTGTGGAATAAAAGATTCAGATAGAAGCAGCATGCAAGGCTGAGTTGAATACTGTATAAACCCGCTCACTCTCTTGGATCAGTCGCTTTTAATTGATGTTTATCAAGGTCTCGATGATTTAGCCGGGTGATATAGTGAGTAAATTAAAAATATAGTCTCTGCATGTAGCCTATATAGCATAATCATACAGGTGTCGTGGTGTAGTGGAAACGGCACCCGGGATTCGGAATCGCGGTTCGAATCCCGTCGCAGCACCAACTAATGTCATTTGCATTTTGGCAAGACATCCACCTGCATTTGGCATTATGCAGTCACACATGTGAAGTAATGGTTACCCGGTAGGAAGGAATATATTCCTTGAATGCTTTAGCGCCCTATCTTATGTCGGCTTAGCTACAGTCGGGTATAATAATATGATACTTAAATTGTATTAAAGATTATCTGTATTAGTTTATAGGAGGGATTAGACCACACCGCAAGGTCACTGGACAGGTGGCTATCTCATCAACTCAGCTCTCAATTAACATTAAGAAAAAGAGGATCATGGGGGACCAATGGTCACCAATTAGTCATTGCTTTATAGAGGGATCAAGTAGCTACAAGTAGGACAGTGTGGCTTTAAGTGGGGGCACGCTACAAGAGTCCTATCTCGCACCCCTGGGCAACGTGTCTGAACCACTCCGAAGCTCAAAATTTAATTTAGGAACTTTGAATTTATCATAAATCTACGGAGACACGAACGAACGAAAAAAGCCATTTTTTACCATGACTCAAAACAAGGCATTTTAAACATTTCGCCCGACGTCACTTTTCACGAAAAAAAGTATACATTCTTTTTGTTTCAATTCATTTTGTTTTGTTTTAGCTCTTAGGATTATCTTGATGTAACAGCAATTTCCAAGATGGATTTCACATCACTGATCAGGATGGTGAGCTACATTTGTGCGGCAATTATCGCATTTGGTAAGCATTATTAAGGCTTTTTCAAATACGACGCAAAACCGCGGCGTAATAAAAAAGAAGCCAGAAAGAAATAGGTTTCTCGTTGCCCATGACGTTGGAATATGAATGATTGTGACAATCATTATGGTTTATTATTGGTCGAAGTTTCTACCTTCTCGAACTTTATTGATCATCTCTATAAATCTTTGATAAAGTTCTGAAAAGATATAAAACTCTATCCATCATTCAAGAAGAATTCATATTCTCACAATCACTTCATGAAAAGAGTTAAACAAATCGTTATTCCAATTTTTTGGATAACAGTGTATTCCAGCACCCCAGAATTTAGAACTATTCTTTTGTACTCGTGATCGTTGATTCCGAATCAGTCTAAATAGTTTCTTTCATTATACCTTGGCATGTAAAGGCTAACTGAAAAAGAAGCTAATTATTAGTTTCCAATTCACCCAGTCAAATTATATGTCATATGTGACGAACAAAATCAATGGCGAGTATATATTGTCCTTTCTTTTAGAACCAACCTGTCGCAGTTTATGGTGACTCTTATCTTCAGAGGTTGCGCTATGCATTGCTAATGGACGAAATTGTCTTAGGAAATATTCACAAAAAATAGGTCAAACACAAGTGTTTTATATATCGGAAGAGTAGAATAGATGTTCAAAAAATCCATTGAATGCAATATTGTTTTGTTTTTCTCCCTTGAATTATTACTAAAATAGCACGAAAGCAGGTACTTTCACTCTATTATGAATTGCATATGCTATTATATGGATAGACTTTTTTCTTTTACAGATGAATGTTACATTGATCTATCTCTCTATATCTTTAGAATAATCTCTTTGTTTTACACTATTCCTTTTTTCAAGCCGCAACATTTGGAAAAGCTGAAAACTGCTACCAGTGTACTCATCCAATTACATTTGAAATCATGACTGGGTTGAAGGAGGCCTGCTCAGATAAATATGACTCAGCAGACTACTCCAAGAACCCTGTATACTGTGCTAATGGATGTAGAGTAAGTTAACATGTTTGTCATTGTTATTAGCATTTATTTATTATTATTTATTATTATTTTTTTTAAAATTATTATTATTATTATTATTATTAATATTATTTTTATCGGCATCATAATTATTACTTTTACAATGTGTATTATTTCTTATTTATCTATCAAAATTATTATTATTTTTATTATTATAATCACTTTTCATCTTTTTCTTCTCTTTATTATTATTAATACTATTATCATTATAATTATTATTAGTAGTAGTAGTATCATCACACCAGTATTATTAGTATCATTATGATTAGTCGTAGTAGTAGAAGTAGTATTTTTATTTCAATAATTGTTTACTAAGGTGCCAAGTTCATTTTTAAATCATATGGTAAGGGCCGCTCAGGTGTTTATGGAAGTGAGGTCTTATAAGGAGACGCTATATAAGCGCAGTGCTTTCTTTCTGTTGGAAGATAGAGTAACGAGAAAAAAAGTTGTGTCAGAGCTACGCTTTTCATTATTACTTATTAACAAAATATAGTGTTTTAACTCCTTAATTCGTGTTTGTCATTATTCAAATGCATTCTAATCTGGTTTTATTTATTTAATCTCAATTTTTATCTTGTTTTCATGAACGTGTGCAGGTAACGAGAACGTTTGATGCCGGACTGATGAAAGCTACTATTCAGCGGGGGTGTGCCACACCGAAACATTCGAAATATTCGAAATATTTCACGATTGAAGGGAAAGCTTTGAATTTGAACATTAGCTGCTCCGGAAATTATTGTAACAAACAGAAATATGAACTGGTTATATTAATAAGCTTAGTCGTAATATGTCTTACCTCTGTTTTACAATTCGTGTATAGTATTTTCCTAAAGGTTTTACATTTAGTATTGTTCTTACTGGTTAGTTTGCTTGTTATTTTTTCCTTATTTTACTATTTTGCCTGACAAAATAATACTAACCCTAAAGGAGATACCCCAGATTTAAGTGTTTTAATCAGTGTGTTTCCTACGTTTGTAAATTTGTTGAAATATTGAGATTAGAAAACAAATATATTTTGGATTGTCTCCTCGGTTTGACGTAACATCATCAGAGGTAAAAATGTCGGAGGTAAAATATCGGAGGTAAAAATGTCGGAGGTAAAAATGTCGGAGGTAAAAATGTCAGAGGTAAAAATGTCGGAGGTAAAAATGTCGGAGGTAAAAATGTCGGAGGTAAAAATGTCAGAGGTAAAAATGTCAGGGGTAAAAATGTCGGAGGTAAAAATGTCGGAGGTAAAAATGTCGGAGGTAAAAATGTCAGAGGTAAAAATGTCGGAGGTAAAAATGTCGGAGGTAAAAATGTCGGAGGTAAAAATGTTTGAGTTAAAAATTTAAAATGTGAGAGAAAAACAATAACTTTGCGAAAGAAACAAAAAGTATGGATGCTTATCCTCTATCGTCAAGAATTTAAATTAATCTTTTTCGGGGATGAAGTTTTAACCCCTCTAAGCCTTCTCCATATAATTAGGGAGGTGAGACTATCAAGCCTTCTTCATACTTGAAAAATAAATAATTATGCATAACAACATATATAATGATCACTGAAGTATACCTGTTAGCATCCGAAGTACCGCATTTTTTCAAATGTTACTAATATACCTACGATTCTGGCCTGGCTGATATATGTTCGGGTTGTGATACTCCTTGTGCAAACTTTAATAATTGAAATCATACGCAACAAATTCTAATTTACAGGGTGCTGGTTATTCCGGAAGGTTATTTTACGAAATAGGTCTGTAACTTTTGTAAACACGATCTATAATACAATAACATATTAAAAATATATGCGTTCTAATTTTAATTCTAAATGTTAATGTTATAGCTTGCAATTACTGGGAGAATAACCTGTCAAGCCTTAATAGGCTTTTAATGACAGTCCCCCTTTTCTATAGATTCATTTAATGTTACGTTATATCATACTTTTGAAATGCTCTGTATATTATTTTAATGTTTGCGTGTTTTGTTTTGTTGTGTTTTTGAAGGAGGATGAATAAAGACTGAGCTAATGAAACACATAATAAAGTAAATTTTTCTAATTTGCTAATTCTTCAAAACATTTGTATATCGCATGGTTTGTTATATAACTTTATATTTTTGATTTTCATTGTGTCCATGGCTCCGCTCCGCAGTAATTCCGTTTAGGCTTTCCTGCGTCAACAGACTATTTCTCTTTTGTAAATGAATTTCAGTATTTATAGTCCCCTTTTCACAATTACAACTGTTATATATTGTAAGAACGTGTAACATTCGCAAGCCTATCATTTTGAAGTATGTTTATTTTACGGGCTCGGGAAAACTAATGATTGGTCCACATTTAAGAAGATTGAAAATCGACAGTCTTGTTTTGATAAAAATAGCCCCGATTTTGATAACGGGTTTGTGATAGCTCAGTTTTTTAATTGTCGTGCTTGGGGGTCTTCGCAATTATAAAGAAATGTCCAGTAATATGAATGTTCACTTCATAATCAAAACATATTTCCTCCTCCTCCTTCTCTTTCTTCTTCTTCCACTCCTTATTTTCTATTCATTTGTATTATTATTTTTATTATAACAATTATAATTATTATTATCATTAATATTATTATTATTATTATTACTTCTACTTCTACTATTATTATTTACTGGCACCACTAATCAATCTACTACTAATATTACTGTTATTGCATGAAACGCGTTTTTCACATGGTCTATCCGAAATCGTAATGGGCGTTAGCAAGTATTCATGTTATAGATGTATTACTGTAAAGACAAACAAACCAGCAACACCAAAACATCAAACAACAGTCTAATCAAACAATTAAAACAAGAATTTCGCAGGAAGCTAGCTATTTTGTAACCTTATTTGGCAGTGGATTATATAATAGTATACGTATAGTCGACCCCCCCCCCCCTCCTCCTCTAAACAAAATAGAACATTAAGACTGAGAGAGAGAGAGAGAAAGAGAGAGAGAGAGAGAGAGAGAGAGAGACTGCGAGAGAGAAGACGAAAGGTAAACGAGAGAGAAAGAAAGGGGAGAGAGAGAGGGGGTGGGGGAGAGAGGGGGTGGGGGAGAGAGGGGGTGGGGGAGAGAGGGGGTGGGGGAGGGGTTCATGAGAAGGCTGTAATCTAGGTTGATCCTTTAATTTGCACTAATTTTCTTCGGGGCAACCTGTCCCCCATAGACCCCCCCCCCCCCCCACACACACACATCTAAGTTTAGGGCCTAATCTCTGTAAATTGTAATTTCTTCTAGAACCCTTTTCATTATTTTTATTTCAATGAGGGGGTAATCTAAATATTCAAATTTCTACAACTTGAGGCTTGGATCCAACATACGCTAATCCCAACTTGAGGTCATTGATTTATGTTTTCCAACTCTAATAATGCATGAAAATACTTGAGCAATTTTCACCCTCCCCCCCCCCCCCCCGCCCCTTTACCTAATTTCCATAACGATGATATGCAATCTCCTTCTCCCTATGAAACTTTGATCATTATATGATTTTTTCTTCTTCTTCTTAAAATTACATAATAAAAGAATGAAAGAAAAATACAAAAAATGCTTTGAAAAGACGATACAGGCATTTGGGCAATTTAATATGTCAAACATTAGTTTGCATTTAGCTTGTGATCACATAATTATGTCTTGTATGCAATGTATCGATATATTGACTGAATGTATACAAACTAAGCCTAAGGATACATTACATGCACCTTTTTTGCCAGAAAAGTAGGTCATATCAATTTAGTTACTAAAAGGCCTGTACTTTACCCTGTTTAGTCGTCAACTTTAGGATTTACATTACTAACCCCATCACAGCCGAATATATTCTCCCTCTAAAGAATAATGGAATCGTCCTATCTCATTACGGATGTAAATGAAGCTTGCGGGTCACGCCCTTTGAACTCGATCAATTCACTGAACGCGTATTGTTGAGGTTTTGCTGTCAGATTGGCGAGATTTGGAACCTAAGACATTGAGAAAAAGTCTGTTTTTGGAAAATCTACCTAGTAATTCTTTGATCCATCAGTGGAATTCAAAAGAATCATGTCCGCTGATTTTCTTACTGGTAAGATATAGCATTTTATTTTGTTCATAAAGTTGAAAACAGCATTTTTATACACAGTCTTCGTCTTGATACGCGTTTGATTTTTGACCGTGCGCTATGGGCTTTTGCGTGTTTAACGGTTCGGCGTATGTTGACAATGTTAAGTTTGAAAAAGAAAAAAAAGAGACCATATTTACATCAATGTTTTCTCACTTTTACAATTCATAAATTCATAGAAACCACAAGTATTCTGGAAGGCAAATTTCTGAGCTGCAGACACATAGTAAATTTATCTTTTGATTTATGTTAGATAACTTGCATGCAGTGTGTTTTACATGGACTGTTTTCTGAATGTTGAGGATAGACGTAAACTGACTGGACCGTGCAGGCTATACGACCACACGACGTTGACAAAAAATTTACGAAAAAGGTTCACGCTTTTGACTCGAACATGCCGTTGCTATTTGAAGAATTCAAATCGTTATGTGCTGCCTTCATTGAAATTTTATTGCAGAACACATCTTTCATGACATTACATAATTCTCAATTTCTCTCAATACTTTTCATTTGCCAGCAAGATGGAATTGCAAAGACAACTGCGTGAAAGATGATTAGTCAGTACGACTACGAGTTGAGCCAGGCCATGCAGGCCAATTCATCATCATGCATGCTTTTTGGAAAATCGTCTTGTATTGAACTCTGCAAATAAGGGATCATTTTAGGCTATAGATTCTATATGACATTGGTCCCCCTTTACATTTTAAGTGACACCACTGGTTGCCTTTCTCTGTACCATAAATTAAAGTTGAAATTGACTGTTTAGTGTAATCGAGCTCCTGAACCAAGCACAAATTAAACATGAAAATGAAAACTCATCAATTTAAATAGTTAATACCCATCATAGACACCTGGTAAATAATGAAGATGACCATTTTCATTTGACCCCTGTCATGTACTTATAAAGACGCAGACATATCGTTTGTAGGGTTGTCCAGATGGAGTCGGGCTAACTCGGCTCAAAGTCAACTCTGCCCAGCTGCAAAAACTGACAGGTTTAGGGTTAGGGTAAAATGACAAAAACTGACCGTTTTTGCAGCTGGGCTGAGTTGTCTTTGAGCCGAGTTAGCCCTGATTCGTCTAGATCATTCGCCGCATGTACCAACAATAACAGAATGGCTTTTGTGAATGAATTGCTCCTTTCAGAGGCCCTGGTTTGGTTGCAGAGCGGACAATGTCATCAGCCATTTGAGGAAATCCATTCTCATGTTTCTTTGCGTCTCTAGACAGTTTATTGATTGCTAGACTCTAGAAAGAAACAACCTTTTGGTATGGGGAATTCTGTAATAAAACTGACATTTGTCAACCTTCACCATACACAGACGGTATTCTTCTTTCCACTCGCACAGGGGGGGGGGGGGGGCGCATATTAACTAGCTTATTTTTTTCCTCCAAATTCCAGCAAAGACAGTGCCCTCAGGTTTTCTTTATTCAGAGTTTCTAGACTTAACATTTTGAATAAGAAAAATCGTAAAACTGCACATGATGACTTCGGCAATTGTACACAATCTGTAGTCATAACTCCCCTCAATATATAGCCCGTACGATTTACTTCAGTCTCTGTATACAGGCAACCAGTGGAGCCAGAAGTACATGTAGTCTCTGCGGACCAACTGTTGATATCAGAGACTGAAGCTTTCGGTCTAGTCGAGTACATGCCACAGAGTGAATTGTTTTGTTATCGATGTTTGAACATGATAAAGACCTGTGCTCGGATCATCACTGCTTGTGCTTGCAGTTTAAATTTTCAACTGTTTTTTTTTAGGATGATATCAAATGATGATAAAGCACATAACCTGCATGTTCTCGCAATATGAGACTTTGTAAGCTGGTTACAAAAAAAAAAGTATTCCTTGGTCACTTTCAAGTAAGATTGAATGACTGTTGCAGAAGCACTGCTTCCTATTACCATGCTATTGATAATTATTTGCAAATAGTAAATCTCTTTCATGTTTCTTTTTTTTTTCTTGTTCACAGCTCCCATACCTTCAAGGGTTTCTATCATGAAGAAGCCGAAGACAGAGAAAGAGGTAGGATTTTGCATGCCCCACAAGATCACAAATAATCTGATAAATTTCTTTAGACATACATGTACATGTGCGTCAATCTTTACAATGCATTTTGAAGAACAAGAATATTCCGCAAGTTGGGTTTAAAATGTATAGAAGATATTGACTGGAAGCAAATGCTCTATAAAATTGTTTGTATCTCTTCGACCATGTGCAGAGGAAGGGAAAAGGAGGGGGGGGGGCAGGTAAATTGTCACCACTGTTCAAGTTTGAATCAGCGCCATTGAGTAGACAGCTCTACAAATTTCTGGATTGAATCAAATTCTCGCTATTGCTAATATGTTAAAAATAACTTGGTGACAAAGTCACTTCTGATCTATTCTGCAGGGCTGCGCTGATTGTGTGTACTTTATTTTCCAAGAGTGGGTCATTGTGAAAAATGTACCGGTATTGTTAAACAAACATGTACTAGAAATAGGATAGGGCCTACTGTATGTGATGGGCAAGAGCAAATAGAGGCATAGAAATAATAATGTCATCTTTCTTTGGTTGTGTTTGGCAAGTGCAAAAATTTGTCTAAAATACTAACAGACAGGACTAGACAGATTCATTGGCTCATTGGACAACCAAGGGACATACTATGTTTTGGTGGGGGTATTCTAAAGTTAACCCTGTAATTTTCTTTAAGTTTTGAGAATGGTCTTCCGTTGTATATCAATCTGTTCGACGATATGATTTAGAGTATCTTTCTCTAGTTTTTTGTTGCTACCATCACACAAAATTGAGAAACCAAGAAATGCAATATAATACATGTACGTGTACATGATTGTTATTGAGTGGTATTTTCTCAATTCATCTTGACAGGATCACGTGTCCAAGCAGCCTGTATTGAAGGACTTCAGTACGTTCTGCACTTGGGTACTAGACTATGAAGCATCTCTGCACAATGGAGACATACCCTATGTCCCTAAAACTCCTGTAAGTATGATTAGAGGTCTTAATGTCGGTTCCTTGCAGGATAGATGTTACTGCGATTGACAATATGTATTTGTAGCTGTTGAGGCCTTCTTGCCGACAGCTGACAATACTTTTACAATTACATTATTTGTTATGTGCTTGGGGTGTAGACTATAAAGCATCTCTGCACAACGAAGACATACCCTATGTCCCTAAAACTCCCTTAAGTATGATAAGGTGTCTTATTGTCGGCTGCCCGCAAGATTACTGCCATTGACAATACATATTTGTAGCTGATGAGGCCTTCTTCCTTCCAGCTGACAATACTTTGAAGAGTGAAAATTAGATTATTTTTTATTAGGGCTGTGCACAACCGTGTAATGAGGTACCCGAGTACACTCCGAGCTTACAAGCTTACAATACTCGAATATTCGGACGCCATGTTTTTAAATTTAAAAAAAATTTATTTTAATTTTTTGTGTTTGTTTTTGCCACCAAATATTCCACGGGAGGGAGCAGTTTCCCAGGTCCGTCTCCGAAAACTCATGCAATTTTACTTGGAGTTGCAGTTGAAGGTGCCGATTTAATGATAATAATAACAGTAAAAAAAAAACCAAAGATGGCAGAACAATCCATTTTCCTCCGAGTCCAAACAGAAATCCAGACATTTGGTCCCAGTTTCTGAGTGGTGAGTTTGACAGTGATTGAGCTCGGAACATTTTTACCGACGGTACCATGCCAGCGGCAGGCGCTCTCCCTGGCACGGGTAAGCGTCGGCCTGGACAGTGCCAGGTGACCGGGAATTTTGTTTTTGCGGCGGAATATTCGAGTACAAGAATTTGTACTCGAGTAGTTGTCAACAGTGCAGGTACTCGAGCATTTGACTACTCGTCGCAGCCCTATTTTTTATGTGCCTGGGTACTATAGACTTTGAAGTATCTCTGTACAACTGAGACATACCCTAGGTCTCTATAACTTCTGTAAATTTGATCAGGTTTCTCCTACAGTGAAACCTATGTTGAATAGAGTCTGATTCTGACCCGTTTGCGAGTGGAACGAACTGAATAAAAAAAGAACAATTGAATGAACAAAACAGTGAAAGTTTCATCGAAATCAGAAAAAGAATAAAAGTTTTGGAATTGATATGTTGCGCATAGGCTGTAAACGAATTAGCGAGTTAATGATGTCATTCTCTCACTATATCCCCCTATATTTTGTTTATGATTTTTTGTTCATAGTAATTTTTTTAACACACCTGTACAATTTCCCCCCTTTAAATTACATGTTACAGTAATGGTGTTTTTTCACATACTCCATGAGGATTCAAACTATGTTTAACATTCCCAGAGCAGAATAGTGATATTTAGGTTAAATTTAGGATAAAAATGGATAGAGGAAAGTGAGGGGATGACATCTGGGGAAGACAATAAGTCAAGGTTTCTTCCGACTTCCATAGAGAATGTACAGCAGCCTCAACTAATTCCTTACATTCCTTTCATGAACTCTCCCTATCTGATTAGATCTATGTACATGTATGCACCATTATAATCTGTTACTTGTAGTTCATAGGTTCCGAAAATATAGTTTCCATCAGACTTTCCAGTTCCCGACCCATTGCGTTTGTATAGGAACTGGAAGTGCCTTTGCCAAATATACCCATGGCCGGTGCTGCCCTCTATGGCCAAATACCGTAGCTGAGGTTCATTGCAATACGAGTTCATGGCACACAAAAGTGTGTGTTTGTGGAGGGGGGGGGGGTGGTTTTGTTTTTGAGTTTGGCCTAAAAAGGTGTGGGGGACAACACAATGCATTTTTTTTTAAGTATAGCTTATTCAGCATAATACTATTTTCTGTCAACATCAAGATGGTCCCCTCCCCTTTACTAATTTAACACAGAGAAATTATTTAATATAAATGTCATTGTTTTATTATGGTAGCATGATTTCCTTAGCCAATATCAGCAGACTCTTTATCATGAAGTACTCAAAGTGCTCAATTTTCTCAATGCATACAACTAATTCCTTGGACTAACTAAGCTAATGCAAGGCCTGACAGCTAAGCCATTTCCTGTGAATCATGAATATTCATTGTAAATAGGACATTATTCACATATGATTGGCCTATGCTAGCTGTGTACAGAGCTCCCTCATTATCATATTGGGGTTTCGAGGTAGACAGCAAAGGAGACTGGTAGACAAGTCTCACAATATTGCAGTGCACTATCACTGGTTTAAGTAGAATAGAGTAGTGTCTATTTACCACTCTGTTTACCAAGAGCTCTCTCACACACTTGGTCACAGCTCCCATATTTGGGTTTTCAGGGCATGACATCACTTCAGAGATGGACTAGTTCATTTTGTATCAGGGGTGTTTAGTCCAAACAATTATTGAGGGTGAAATCATCCAGATTGATGATTTCTGTCATGTTTATTTTCTCTGATCATGAGGAATAGATATGTTGTTGATGAATTCAAATGAAAATGATCAACAAATCTGTCTCTACACCCTACGGTTTTAAATAGTATTAAATTAAGTTTTCTATGCTAATGTACTTTGTACACTGTAGCCTACATACATGTATGTGCCAAAAAACTTGTCAAAATTGAAATTGAAAACCATACAGGCTGTGTTATGTGGCCATCACTACATGTACCGTACACACTAAAGGTGCTGTGGTTTCGTGGATAAGTCACCTGACTGTAGATCACAAAGTACGGGGTTCAAATCCCAGCCTGGCACTAACGTGTATTAATCTACATTTAACATGCTCATCCCAGGTGTACATGGATACCTGATATGTTTTACTTTGGCAGCTCAACTACATGTATATACCTGGCTTAAGCACAGAATAAATGACCTTTCTTACAGTCTGTGTCACTTAATGTAACAGATGTGGAGTGTTTGTAAAATTTAAGGTTTTTTTTCTTTCTTTAATTCTTTTGGTTAATTAAAAAAAATACTTTAATTTTTTTTTTTTTTTTTTTTTTAGGGGGGGGGGAATATTGCATGTTTTATTTCAGTAAGCCAACACAAAAGTAATTTAAAGGAGTTTTTAAAGTATTATTATCAATCTCAGTGAGGCTGACTTAGTAGTAGCCTACAATCGTTTTGCTAGTTGTGATATCATTGAAGTCTACAATCACTTTTTCCCCCTCCATTAATATCAGGAGCGTTTGAAAAAGAGAAGTACTTGTCCCCTAGACAATGAAGGAAACAGTAATTAAGAGGGGAAAAATGAATAAAACCAATTTTCCCATCATTAATTGTTATTTTCTCTATTAGGATAAGCATCAGTCCCCTTGACAACGAAGGGAACAATAATTAAATGGGAAAAACAAATAATAACAATCTTGTTTCCATCATTAATTGTTATTTTCTCCATTAATAGGAAGTTTGAAGAAGAGAAGTATCTGTGCTGTCCCCTAGACAGCGAGAAGAACAGTAATTAGAATGATCAAAAATGAAGAATAACAATTTCTCCCATCATTAATTGTTAATTTCTCTATTTTCTCTATTAAGACACTGTATAGCGGGTATACATTTCTACCAAGATCACTGGGCACATGTCATTTATTTGTAATCTTGAACATTCAGTGTAAGTCTAGTTGGATTCTGTGAGAATCTATTTTCAATATTTACCAGAACTCAAGCTTATCTTTAATTGTTATTTTCTCTATTAGGAGCGTGTGAAGAAGAGAAGCATCAGTCCACTCGACAGTGAGGGGAACAGCGTTGGTAGCGGAGCCGATTCAGACCTCAGCCCCAGGGAAAGGTACTCCAAGAAGGGCAGAATGAGCAGTGCACGTAAGTCTTTATATCTCTATTTTACCACTAGAAATATGCACAAATATTAATTTTGATTTATGAAAGGGACTGTGACCTGGGCCCCGTTTTTATTAAAGTTGTTATCAATGACGAGGCACAATGAATGTTAAAAGCTGTTGGTCCTACATGGTTCCCTTTTTCTAATGAAATTGTGGCATTTGATTGGCTGAGAGCAAATTTGCCATAGAAATTTAGCATTTGTTACTGATAGCAAATTCAATGAAACAGCGCCCTGTTTTGCTCTTTCATTATCATTTTATACAAATCACCTGACTTTGTAATACAAGTATTAAAGACATCGTTTAACAATGTTAAATCTGAGATGCACGGCCCTACGTGTTATCAGTGTCTGTTATATGGTGTAATATGGAAGCCCTAAAAAATTGCGCTTCAAATGATCAAAAAGTAAAAATCTTTAAGTGACCGGTTTTACCATACTCGTTTTCCCCAATAGACTGTAATGGGTTTTCAAAATTTGTAATTCCAATCATAAATATCTGGATAATCAGACAGGCGATCGGCTTGTAAAAGTCATGGGGTTCCTGACTGACCTAAAGATTTAAGGTTATCATTGCAGCATGAGCTAAATCCAAGATTTTGTTTCAGAGTCTGAGACAAAGTTACCGGATCCCTTTAACTGAATGTTCAGCTAGCGTAAGTACATAAAGAGCACTAGCATTGATTTGTTTTTTATCGTCATTTTCTACATTAGACTTGCAATATACCTCTCACTCCTGCATGCATTTTAAAGGACCTGTTATTCCCCATGAGATCCGACTATTGATGATTTGTTTTGTTCCAGGCGAAAAAGACGAAGACTGGAACCTCATCACGTGTTTCTGCAACAAGCCGTTTGCCGGCCGTCCCATGATTGAATGCAATGAGTGCGAGACGTGGGTCCACCTCTCATGCGCCAAGATCCGCAAGACCAACGTGCCAGAGATCTTCATCTGTACACACTGTAGAGACACTCGAAGCAGTATCCGCAAGTCAAACAGGCAACGGGAGCCAAAGAAACAATTCTCAGAACTCTATGGGCCTGGTGAAAGTTAGCAGGTGGATAGCTTCACCGACTTTTTTTATGAAAGGAACAATTTTCAGAACCTTGTGGCATTGTCATCAGAGATGGTGTTGTTAAGAGGTGGACAGGTGACCCCAGGTTTGTGGACAAACCGCATTCTGCAGAACAGCTTCCAGAACTTTGTGGTCCTGGTGAAGGCTAGCAGGGGGACATCTCCACCATCTTTATCTTTTATAGGAACTATTTTCAGAACGTAAGAGATGGGCAAGTAACCCGAGGTGTTTGAAAAGAAACATCATTCTGCAGAGCACGGGCCACAGCTAGCTGATTGATCACTACATTATCATGGGTCTAGGAAGAAATGTCCAAAGCCATGTCCCAGGAAAAGTGAGCAGGTCAAAGGCTGTTAGAGGTCAGAAGAACAACGTCATGACTGCGCCATTATAACAAGTGATGTGTTATCAAGAGTGTACAGAAGAAATGTCCAACGCCCTGATCCAGGGAGACATTTTTTTAGATGGTACAACAAATGAAACGCCAGTAAGCGGGGTTACTTTTATCGGCTTTTGACCTGATAGATATGTGTCATTATGAGGAAGGAGGACAAGTTTATCTTTTTGTTTCATAACTTGTTTAATTTTAATTTTTAAGGGAGGCAAATTATCACTGAAAATGTATCCTCTTTTCACATCGTCATTTAACAGGAAGCTTCTAAGGTGCTCTATATCATGCTCAAAATTCTTTTTTGTGCAACTTTCACTCATTTTTAATCTATTGAACAAACACATACATGTACATGTACAAGATAATGTAACTACATGTACATGTAGGTGAAATACAGCTGCATTTGTACAAATGTAAATGTCTATCTACCAATACATACATAATAAATAATAATAATAGTAACATGTACATTTATATAGCTCAAGCACTGTACTATTATTACCTCAGCATTTCAGAAACTTCTTCCTACCGGGTACATATTTACATGTACATCACCTGGCTGGGAGTTGAACCTCATACCTTGAGATCCATAGTTAGGTGACCTATCAAGTAGACCACAGCACCTCTACAACCATCTATTCCATTCCCCAACTATATCATTGGCTCATTGGTATAGCAGTGGACTCGTAACCGGGAGGTCCCGGGTTCCAAACCAAGTCATTGCCATAGTTTCCTTTGGTAAGGCATGAATCTTCGTTACCAAGTCCCTTTGGGGAGGACTTTAGGCCATTGATTCCCTGGTTGTTTTCTTACAAGCATACACATGCTTTCTAAGCAGTCCGGTATTCAAACAAACTAACTAATATTGTCTTGAACTCCATCACGACCCCTTCACCTCGTATCTATCTACCGGTAAGCCCGTATCTTCAACAAATTAATTCCTGGAGCACACATCACTGAAGCAAATGTTGCATCACAGGAAAAAGATGTACTTTATGACATGTGACGTTAGTGGAATGTACATTTCAATGGACTTTTGATTAGTATTAATAAGCCTCATTCATGTATAATGTAGTAAAGAGCTTTTTTTTTACAAGGATGGAAGTGTAATCCGCTTCACGTTTCTTTTTCCTATACCGCAGAGCTAAGTGAATGTTGCGCGCTGTTGTTCATTCCCTTACACCTTAAAAAAAAATGACATGTATTTTTTTTTTTGCTGCGATTCATCACGTCATTTCTGAAGTTCTCTGAACGTAACATATTTGCGTTTGTTACTTATTACCCTTACACTGTACATATAAATATGATATTTGCAGTCACACACCTTGAGGGAGACGTAACTAAGTGAATACCTGAAAATATCTAAGATAACTAGATTTCTTGAACAACCATTATTCACATGTAGAATATTTTTTTTAGTTAGGGATTTTAGGAAATTCAACTTTCTTTCATTTTCATCCATTGACTAGATCAGTTTGTCTATTTTCCATTTGTTTCATTTTCATCTGTTTTGATTTTAATTTTTTACTGTAGTTACTTTTTATTTATTTATGTACCGGTATTTATTTATTTAGTTAATTATTTTCTTTTCTAATTTTTCTGTTTTGCTTTAAAATCCTCCTGATCTCTTAATTTTCTCTCGGTATGTAACCGACGTAGAAATGTATATAAAACGTCTTCCAATGATGAAATCAGACTAATTTAGCCAAATTTTACAGCAATTTAAAGAACAACTTTGTTAAACATACCACCATGCTAAGGCAATGTGATATGCTTATTGTAATGCTTTATGCTTTAAAAGTTGGCCGATTCACAAATTTGTTTGCCCATCGCAAAACCATGGCATACAAATGTGGCGATCCTGTCAGCTTCGGTTTGCAGCAAGCACATACGTATACACTGTACATCAGGGGAAAAATATTAAATTTTTTTGGGTGGCTCTTTTTTTTGTATTTTCCCCCCGTTCTACATGTAGGGGGAGAAGGAGATCACTTTGGAAAGATATTATTGGAATTAATCGGCCACATTCCGAACTACTTTAAATAGAGAAGGTTGAGTTCTGGGTAAGGTGAACAATAATATTTGTGAGGTTTTTCATTCTTTTGATGTCGGCGTGGAAGAGTTTTATGGAAAATATACCCACTGAAAAGAGTGGCTCTTGAGATGCTCTCCTATTTGAAACATGACAAGCAACGGCTAAAGTTTGTGGACCACAACCTCATGCCCATGTCTGTGTAGTCCCATGTACACATTTCTGTGTACAGCGCATGTGACCCATTAGCAAGACTTGGGCAATTCCCAATCATTTTGATGATTCCAAAACCTTACTGCATTACACCCATACTCACATGTATCTGCTATATGATCAACCTTTCCCAATCACTTCCACACAGTTCTTTCACAATGCAAGCATATGACCAGAACTCAACTTTGTCTTGGAGTCCTGGAACATATGTAACTTGATATCAATATCGTTGAACAGACCCAATGGTTATAGAGCGAAGTATCTCGTTTTGCCCATCTTTGCTGCTGTATTAGATGTTATATATGCATACTGTGTAAACTGAAACTGAATAATATATTTGACTGAACAATACATGTATGAAAACAGGACTTTCACCTTTAACTTACAAAAGTTACATCATATGTGTGACATGAGGTTAAAAAAACTAATTAACAGACAAAAAAATACCATTCTCAGTCTTCTAAAAAGTTTCATTACGATCATCTTATTTGCTCAACGTTTCTTTTGATCTCTATCTTTTATTTTTGCATGGATAAAACGTTTTTGACTCCATATAATGAAATTTGTGCGTAGAAACGTGGCTATTGATTTCATCCCTTATTTTATTCCTACAGAAAACAAATTTGTTCTGGAATATTTAATTAATATTCTTTCCTTTGGTATCTTTCCAAATCTGTCTGTGCTGTGATTTTCAAATTGTGCCCAAAAGTTTGGACAAGCAGATATATATAGCCGGGTAATGATATGATTGCAGGGCCCTCAGGGAGAACAGTATGAATACTGATGAGGCTACCCTGGGTAAACAAGGCATATTATTATTATTATTATTATTATTATTATTATATAGAATCTCAAGTTTTCTGAGGGCCAGAAGCTATTTCAGGCTCAGGTCACCAATGAAATGGGGAAAGCAAAACAGAAAATAATACCTTGCATTCCATTTGTTAATTACTCTGACATACATGTATTATCATGTGGGGGGGGGGGGGGGGGGGGGGGGTTACGAAGTGAATCACAAATGTCTAACCCTTGCCCTTTATTTTTTGACGACAACCAACAAATTCCCCTTACCAAGCATTGCTTGAGTGAATATTTCAGAGTATATATATGTTTTGTCAATGAAGAATTACTTGTTTAGGGTCACAAACTATTAAAGTTACTATGTCCCTTTTGCAGCCAACCTCAAATTTTTTAGTCGATTTCCCACTCGAAGACATTTTCAAGCCCCACCTTTTTTAGGGAAGTTATAAATTAGTATTATCTTTCAAATGCCGTTGGAATTTAACCTTTTCATTTTTTGGCCTGCAAATGGGACATAGTACCTTTAAGATAAAGTCACTTTGTATAATATGTGATGAGAGCAGCATTTGTACAGGGGGCAGGATTTGTACAGAACTTTTATATTGGTATGTAAATGAATATTTTGAAGTTTTAAAATTTGTACAGAAATTATGACATCATTATATCTCAACATTATAGAGATGGACGTACAGTGGTCTTAGTATGAAAACTGCCATTTATATTTTTGTTGCATCGTTCATACTTATATTACCATGAAGATTTTGAAAATATGACTCTTTCTTGTATCGGAGAAAAGAAGTGGACTTTCTCTGTGGATAGAAAAAACATGTACATTTTCAAGTAGAAGCGAATAAATTATATGAATTTAATGACCCATTTGTGATATGTTGATTTTATGTGGTGATGTTTGTGTTTTCCCTCAATGCTGTACTTAATTGTTGTAGGTACTCAAAACTGGGACCCGTTTCATGAAACTTGCTAACAATAACAAATGCTAACTTATTAACGAATTTGCTCTCAGCCAGTCAGATGCCATAATCGCAGGAGCTTGTAACAGTTATTGTAACTTGTTATAAATACAAAAATAATGAAACCGGCCCTAGTTTTTGCGGAGAGATCTTATATTCACAACTGACAAAATATAATCAGCGGGACATAGAATAGTGACATTCAGAACACTGGTGAGAGAAACAAATTCGAGAAAAAAGAGAGGAGATAGAAAAGGAAAAGGCAAGAAGCGGGAGAGGGGAAGAAGAGATGGAATGAAAAGAGATAAATAAGAGATGGAGAGAGGGGGAGATAGAATAACAGAGCTAGAGAAGGGAAGGGCAGACATGGGGGGGGGGGGGGGTGGGTGACAGAAAATCATGCACAGGCTGTACAATTATCTTGATATTTTTCTTTAGCATTTATAGGTGAATTATGATATACACTGGCATGGGGTGCTTTGGAGCTGCAGTTTACCCCCCCCCCCCCCCCCCCAAAAAAAAAGAGATAAAATAGGAGGCTGATATACGTTAGAGAAAGAAATACTGAATGAAAGAAAGATTGATATAGATAAAAATAAAGACAAAAAGAATACACAAAGTATGGTTCATTACCATACCATAGTATACCCCACCCACCATTGGTGGTGAAAGAAAAGATCGGCTGGGGGCGGGGGGGGGGGGGGGTTGCACTTTGCCTTTGGTTGGGGTGCAGCCGTAAATTTATGGGGGATATATATTCTGGAACAGTTTTTAAATACATGTATACCGGTAGTCTATTAAGAAATTCCGCCTGATCAAGTCGGATGAGTCTTGTTAGTTGTAGATATTTAGATTATACTTGTTTATCTAATACCGTGCCGTCAAAAACTGTATTTAGAACTCTCATCTTGCATCTATAGACATGCAGAGAGCGGAAAAGTGCATTGACCTTTCCAACTCTGACGCTACCGTACGCTGTCTCCAATACAGAATTCTCCGTTACCGTATTTCTTCGACGAAGCTCGAAATTATCATATTGAATCGAGTATTTGGTAATTATAATATGCTTCATAACTTTATAGAATATATGTTGCCTCCGGTATGGTCGACTATGGTCTGAATTGAGCTTATTGTGGTGACGAGTTGTTTTGTATTTTTCATACCAGTCCCACATACTGATTTACATGTCTTGTTTTGTATGAAAGATCTTGTCAGAATTGGTTAGCTATCTCTTGCAATTGTGAATGTTGTGTGAATGTTCTTGTGTATATCATATACTGATTTCAACACTTTAACACTTTTATAGGTTATCCAGTGTCACAGTGAAACTGTTCTCCTTACATAGATCTACTCATCTATAGTGCATTACAAACTTGATTCTGAAAATATAAAATTTCTTGGAAAAGATGACATTTATTTAGAGTAGAAATTCAGGGACTAATATTTTGTAACGTTGAAACTAAAATATACTGATGTCATCTGTTGCTATTTATAGGGTGTCTGATCGCGCACCCGATGTTGTGTGCTAAAATTCTTCCCATAGAGATTACATGCATCCCTATGCAGTCTACGTGCATTGCGCGTGACCATGCAAAAAAAGTCAAGTTTTTTTTTTCAATTCAAGATTCAAACCTTTATCTGTTGTGAACCTGAAGGTGATACTCAATAAATGAGGTGTCATATGAAAGAGCAGGTGAATTCCAATATTTCCAAAGGGAGGGTCACCCCCGAAATTCTAAAGATATCTTGGTAAAAACAGCAATTTAAACATTGTGTCCTGGCTAACTCTGACTGAGGTTTGTCACTTTTGAGATATGACGCCCTGATCGATAAGTAGTCCCAGTCCGAAGGAATATATCTATGTGCTTA